TGCATCACAGCGATGTTCAACAGTTCTATCTCATGGCACATATGACTAATTACTAAAATTCTGTGGCACACCAAAAATATACTTTTTGCCAACTGGACCAAAAAATAGGTATAATTTTGATTGACTTACAAAAGTAGTCATTGTAATTACCAACCCTCTGCTCCAAAGTGACTTTCAAAAAATCAGGGGCCTATACTTGTATAAGGATTTCTGGTACCAAGAATTAACCAATCAGACACAACCTTATTATGCACTGTGACCAATAAGATGCAACTCTATTTGATAACCTATATATTTATAGTTCAAGACAGGGCATTCACACTGGATGGCTATCGTTGTTTGGCTGTTGTCATTTTTTTAAAAAAATCTGACAATCTAAGGAAAAAAAGGTCAGTGCCCCTGACTGAATAGTCAGGTATGGCATGTTTTAAAAATTTTGTGCACACTGGTTGAAAATAGTTGGTCTATCGCAGGTAGGACAGGTGGGGAGTAGACAGGATGCCAGGCTGGAAATTGAAACCTCAGGAATCTCACCATCTTGGTTCCAACCACCATCTTTGTTACCTACTTCTATTCAAAAAGGAGGTTGGAAGAGGCTGTCCTGGAAAGGGCATGGTGAGGTGACCACAACATGGCCCTTCTGTGGGCACGCTGCTCAGAAACACCAGGTTTCTGGAAGGTGAGAAGGTTGGTATGGATTTTCATTTCTTATGAATGAGCCTTCCCTCATTGAAGCCAATGTGCCTTGACCTTTGATCTACTATTGGGCTCTCCTTTCTTCCTACCAGCTTCTTCTCTTTCCAATTCTTCATCTGTGTTCCCTGAGGGTCATTTAGGTGCCAAGACTCGCTTCTTATAGCTCTGAATTTTTCACTTCTGAGGGAGGGATTGTGTTCAAATGGCAATCTCTTGTGTTTGATTGTCTTGTTCTCTGGTGGCTATGCTTCCCTCAGCCCCCTTAGACAGTGGCTCTTTTCCCTCCCGTGCCTTATGCACCATGGGGTTTGAAGGCAAGTAAGTGATCTTATGGCTTATGTTTATTTTTTCTTTTTTAAAAAATTTATCTTTATTGTTGAAAGTATTACAGATGTCCCCCTTTTTTCTCCAGTTGACTTCCTCCTTCCCACCCCACCCTCCACCTTCACCATACTATTGTCTGTGTCCATTGGTTATGCATATAAGTTCTTTGGTTAATCTCTTCCCACACCCCCAACCTCCTTCTCTCTGAGGTGAATCAATCTGTTCCCTACTTCTATGTCTCTGGATCTATTTTGTTCATCAGTTTATTTTGTTCACTAGATTCCACATATATGTGAGATCATGTGATACTTGTCTTTCTCTGAGTGGCTTATTTTGCTTAGCATAATACTCTCCAGGTCCCTCTATGCTGTCTCAAATGTTAAGATACCCTTCTTTTTTACAGCTGCATAGTATTCCATTATGTACCTATACCACAGTTTTTTTGTTTTTGTTTTTTATCCACTCCCCTACTGATGGACACTTGGCTGTTTCCAGATCTTAGCTATTGTATATAGCACTGCTATAAACATAGAGGTGTATATATTCTTTCTGATTGGTATTTCATTGAATAAGGGGTTAATTTCCAAAATATATAAAGTACTCACACAACTCAACAAAAGGATAACAAACAATCCAATTAAAAAATGGGCAGAGGGTCTGGCTGGTGCAGCTCAGAGGACTGAGTGCTGTCCCATGCACTGAGAGGTCCTGGTTCGATTCCTGGTCAGGGAAGGTGCCCAGGTTTTGGGCTTAATCCCCAGTAGGGAATGTGCAGGAGGCAGCTGACCTATGTTCCTCGCTCACATAGATGTTTCTATTTCTCTCTACCTTCTCTCTCTAAAAAAATCAATATGGAAAAAAAATTTTTTTAAATGGGCCAAGTACCTAAATAGATGCTTCTCCAAAGAAGACATACAAATGACCAAGAAACATGAAAAAATGCTCAAGTCACTAATCATCAGAGAGATGCAAAGTAAAATGACAATGAGGTACCACTTCACACCTGCCAGATTGGCTGCCATCAACAAAACAACAAACAACAGTGCTGGGGAGGGTGTGGAGGAAAAGAAACCCGAGCACACTGCTGGTGGGAATGCAGACCGGTGCAGCCACTAAGCAAAACAGTATGGAGTTTCCTCAAAAAATTAAAAATGAAACTGCCATTTGACCCAGTGACCCCACTGTTGGGAATGGTTTCTGTTTCTTGTGGCTTCTTTCAGACTGTTTTCATTCCCTCTTCTTTAAAAACAAAACAAACAAACAAAAAATCCATTCAGCTTTGACTCCCATGACATCAGGTTAAACGACCTTTTGTTGAGAAAGTCATTTATTGATCCCTGGGCCTCTGCCTCTCATTCCATAGAGATTTTAACCACAGAGCCACAATCACCCTCTCTAGCCCTCCCCCCATAGTGATTTCAACATCCAGATAACTCAGTCTTCCAAGGTATCATCTTTACTATTCACGAATTCCCATGGCTTCTTAGTTCCTTGACTTCCTCTCCTCCAAAGACCTTGACCTCCACGCTATCTCAGCCACTTATTCCCATGGTCATAACTTACTTGTTGCCAAACCGATATACTGCAACCCTAGATGACATTCCACTATCCGGTCACCACCCCATACACTTCTAGCTCTCTTACTCTCACCACCAACTCCAAAATTTCTTCACCACTAGACCTAAAATTTATTGTAATAACTACTCTTCACTGTTCTTCACCCATCTCATGTTCTCACTTCCCACCTTATTCATTTAAAATTTAATGATCAGCCCTGGCCGGTTTGGCTCAGCGGTTAGAGCGTTGGCCTGTGGTCCTGAGAGACCCGGGTTCGGTTCCCGCTAAGGGCACGTACCTCGGTTGCAGTTTGTCCCCGGCCCTGGTCGGTTGTGCGGGTGGCAGCCACTCGATGTGTCCCTTTCACATCGATGTTTCTCTCTCTCTCTCTGTTCCTCTCTCTGCCCCCCACTCTACCTGAACGAAGAATGGAAAAATGTCCTCGGGTGAGGATAAAAAAAATAAAAAATAAAAAAATAAAATTTAATGATCAATCATTCTGGTTGTTCTCTTGCCTCCTTCCTGATTTATCATACTCTCATGCTTGATATAGCCTTCATTAAGTACGACTTTCTACCTGATATGTGCCCAAATCTGGGGAGCTCAATGTGGCTGGAAAAAGAATGGCCTCTCTTTAAATTCATAAATATTAATACTCTCAAGAGAATCCTCAATGCTACTTACCACTCAAAACTCTATTTTCCTAGCCAGTTAATCTCTTTACTCTCCTAGATGACTATTTTATGGCTTCTAATCTCTCCCCAGACTTTCAATGTCTTACCCTCTTTGCTTCCCATATTACTAAGAAAACAGAAACAATTAGAAGAAAACTTGTAAGAGCTCCCACCACATTACTATACTTATTTGTATCGCTGTGTATCTACTATGATTCCCTCCTCTTTCTTTGAATAAATTGTACATGTTCCCAGCCAAGGCTACCCACCTATCAATGCGTCACATTCAATCTCTTACCTACTTGCTGGTATCACTCCTTGAATGTTCCCTGTTTCTCCTGAGCACTTTTCCCTCTTGACCGCGCCATTCCCATCATTATAAACATATCGCCACTTTCATATTACTTGAAATCCTGCAAGTCCTGACCCCATTTACCCATTTAGATACCCCTGCATTTTGTCCTTTTAAGGACAATTCCTTCAAAGATTAATTATACTCACTACCTCAAATTGCTCTCTTCCCATTCTGACTTGAACCAACTCCAGGGAGGTTTTTTGCCCTCACTGTCTCACGGAATGTGCACTCATCAAGGTTATCCTAATCCTACTTGATTTTTGACGAAGTAGATCAATTAGACTCTTCCCTGAATCACTTCTTGAAACACTGGCTTCTAAGAAACCATATCCTCCCGATTTTGCTCCTTGTCTTCAGCTACTCCTCAGTTTCTTTTGCTGATTCATGTCACCACCCCACCACCACAATCAGGATTCAGAACAGTTCCTGAATCACCTCCTAAAATTCCCTTGGACTATTCCTTTGTAGTCACATGCTTCCCTCAACTCCAATCCCTGGCGACCACCAATCTGTTCCCCATCACTGTAGTTTTTTGAAATATCATAAATGGAATCATATAGTATTTAACCTTTTGAGACTGGCTTCTTTCATTCAGAAAAATGACTTTGAGATTCATTCATCTAAGTTGGTACATGTATCAGTACTTCACTCCTTTTTATTGGTGAATGAGCACAACCTTACTCCCCAAAATAATGCAGGAAAACATTATTTTTTTTATCCTCCCCCGAGGACATTTTTCCATTTTTGTTTTAGATAAAGTGGGAAGGAGAGAAAGGAAGAGAGACAGAGAGAAACATTGATGTGAAAGCGACACATTGACTAGCTGCCACCCACACAACACCAACCAGAGCGGGGATACACTGTAACTGAGGTATGTGCCCTTAGCGGGAACCGAACCCGGGTCTCTCTGGACCGCAGGCCGACACTCTAACCACTGAGCCAAACCGGCCAGGGCAGAAAAACATTTTTATAATGTTTTAAGAGTTCAAGTAGAGTGAGTTAAAAAACTTAAAGGCATTTTGTAGAATCTGAACATAAGATTTTCTTAAGGCTTGTTTGAAACTAATTTCTTTAACATGTTTGTGCTTGTGTACATCCTGTAAGTCAGATTGCTGATGGGCTAGCCTGTTTATTCATGTGCTTATTATTTCCTGGAAGTCTTTACTGTACACAGGAGGGCTGGTAATGCGTGGTAAGACCATTCTCAATCATCAGCAAAGAGGAGCTTCTTCCTAGAACCCAGGACCAGAACTCAGCTTCAAGAAGCATGTTGAAGGTATCATCTTCACTATTCACAAATTCTTAGACATCCCCCCCATGTTACGATCAAGGCTACTCAACTCTTCCATAGCCTTTCCCTGTTGCCACCAAGACCTTGTAAGAAGAATGTTTACCTGTGACAACACTGGGGATTTTGGAGAGAAAGCTCTTGACTGTTCTGATGGGCACACCCCCTGTCTTGTCATCTTGCATCTTTGTAATGATGTCTTCAATCTGAAAGAAGTTAAAGAAAAGAAGTATTATTGTCTCCCACAACGTAACAGTAAAGGATATCTTTATAAATAGCTAAAATGTGAGAACGTGGATGCCAACAGTGGATATCAGGAACCCCCCCACCCCCCACCGGTCAGTCGATAAACACAGGGCAGGATCTTGTATAGATCATGTGTTGTGGGTAGGAGGTAAGGAGCTGCATACAATAACATAAAGCATGGTCTGTAAGAATAACCCTCAGTTTAACAAGGTAAGGAGGGGGAAACACATAGGATTCTTGAAGGGATCCAACATGTAACTCAATATGCATGTGGTGAAATTCCTCCTCTTTTTCAAATTGGGTTCACATATAGGTTCAACCATATGAAATTGCCATATTCGGCCTAAAAAATGGCAATTTCCTACAGTTTAACCTAATGTATTAACATACTACTGTTAAAAGGTATAGGCAGGGCTGCCTTTGGGCTCAGAGAAAGGTCCAGCCAGAGTCACAGAGGAGAGAAAGACTACAGATCAAGACCCGTGAAGCTCTGACCGGAGAAGCCGGAGGACATGTGGTTGTTCGCGGTGGTGTGAGGGTGGCCACCTTGAACCAGGGCCAAGGTAGAGCAAGGACATGATTCTCTCCTTTGGGACTAAGGAAGACCAGGCCCTCAGGAGAAAGTCCACGGGGGCTGTGGCCTGGAGCCAGGCGCAGTCCTACTGATGAGACAGAGACTGTGCAGATATCTTGAAAACAGAACACAGAGAGGCGATGGACTAGTAAGGTCGTAGGTGACTAAAGTGGGAAACCGGTTTGCAGCTAAGAATTTACAAGCCTGGGCAGAAATCTTCAGGATAGGGTACAGCAGAATCTGTAACCGGGACACAGGTCTTCCTGTTTGGAGAGTAGAGAGCGGGGAGAGGGCAGCTGGCAAAGGGGAGAGATGGTGTTTAGTTTTCTCACATTTTGTTCCCTGAGCAATGGAGTACATGTGAAACAGCAGGATGGGTTTCCTGAGTGCTTCCATACTAGATTCACATAAATGTAAGTGTAGAAATTTACAATGGACACGGACACTAGGCCGGGAGCAGGAAGGAGAGGGTCAATGGGGAAAGGGGGGGCATCTGTAACACTTTCAACAATAAAAAAAAGTGTAGAAATTTAAAGCTGTAGCTTACCTAGTCTAATATACTAGTAATGCAATTTGAGGGTGAGTTTCTCAGTTACATGACTAATAACTTCTTTGAAATAAATAGATAAGTTGCTAGAGACAAAGTTAGGATATGGCATAACGTAATAATAATATAATATATTATGAATTTATTATGTGCTAGCTATTCTAAGTACTATACACATATTATCCTATTTAATCCCCATGATTATTTCATGAGCTAGATTCTACTTTTATCTTTATTTTCACATAAAGTAAGCTTTAACAAGGCATCTTAATCAGGGTAGACTAAGTTAAGTTGTGGTAACAAATAACCTTCAAAATTACAATGGCTTAATAAAATCAACTTTATTTCTCTCTCATGATATAAATCCACTGCAGGTCACCAGGGGGCTCTGCTCACTGTTGTTACTCTGGGACCCAGGCTGACGAAGCAGCCGCCGTCTTGAAGGTTGCTGTTCATTGTGTTAGAGGGACAAAAGACAATTCTGGAGAATCTTGCACTGGTTATGAGAAGTCATAGCCCAGAAGTTACACAGAACACATTACTCACAATTCTTTGGCCAGAACTAGTTACATGGCACCACCCAACCACAAAAGAGTCTTCTGGGTGCCAGGAGGAGACATCAGTGACCTCCACAGAGGTTAAACAACCTGCCCAGGTCACACAGCTACCCAGCTGTGGATCTGAGTTTGAGCCCGGCCATGGACCGACTGCAGAGCTCCGCCTTCCAACCCATGGCTACTCTGCCACCCAACGAGATTCCCAGAAAACCAGCCAAGCAGGGAGACCATTCTCCCCTGGATATTTCTGGGTTTTCCTGAGAGGTACTACCAGTGAGAGAAAATCTGAAGCTTCTGAGTCCTTAGGCAGTGGATGAATATGTCATGTTAAAGAAAGGGTCATTCTCTGAAGACCTGCATTCCATTAAATGACAGGAAAAGGAGGCTTTTCATTCACATTCTTGTAAATAGTTTCAGCTAGTGCCCCGCCTTCTGTCCTCTAAACTCAACCCAATGATTTAGAGCTGTTTGAGTATTACTGCTAGTCAAGGAGAGAAATTCCTAGAAAAATGGACATTTTCAAAGTAATCCGTGCTTTGATCTAGTGTGCTATCAGAAACCCAACATATGAGTTACATTGCTGCTTTTTATGAAATGGCCTAAAAATCACAGGGAATTGGAAGGAAGCCAATATTTCAATTCAGTTAGAACCCTAACTTATCATTAGATGGTAATAACCTCCATTCTCTGCTGATGTGAGCTGGATTTAAAGACTGGCCGTGCAGAATCTCCATGATCCTCGTATCCTCTTCTCTGATTAGTTGCTTTCTCACACCATTGACCCTTTGTTATTATTATATAAGTTCCAGGTATATAACATTATAATTCAACATCTGTGTAAACTACGAAGTGATCACCAAGACCTATCTTCTTATGCTGGACCTCAGTGTACCAAGAGGTGTATCACTCTTCAGGGGTCACGGCTGAATCAACAGGACAACCCCCATAACTGACCAGAAAGATGTCACATTCCAGCAATAGTTTACAACATCAGAGGTGCAGAGGAATGTTCCATTGGTCCTCAATTCTTGACTCCTCCATATTATTAATTTACACCTAAATCCTGGCCCTGGCCTCATGGAGGACAGAGTCTCTCCTTGACCTTTTGGCTTGGTCGTGTGACTTGCCTGGCTAATGGGATGTAATTGAACATGATGTGAATGGAGACTTTCACTGTACCTGGTTAGGGTCACCCCTTTCTCTCGCCCTCCTGCATGAGAGATCTGTTATTCCAAGGAGGGTGAGAGACATCTGGAAGAGAAGGGGCCCACCCCTGGCTGGATCAGTCAAACCTCCGCTGACCTGCAGACTCGTGAGTCAGAAAGAAATGCATATTGTTGTATGTCACTGCGTTTGGGGTGGTTTGCTGTGCTGCAAAATCGTGGCTATTGCTGACTGATACATTGGGGCTCTGAAAAAAAATGCATTTGTTAAAAATTGCTGAAGCCACAACAAATACTTGGTAAGAAGAATCAATGAATCTTAGAAGTGGGATACCCTAAAATCCAACCCATTTTAAGGGTGCAGAAATTCCATCTACACCATTCACCATCTACTTCACATTCTCGGGGTCTCTACTACTTCATGGCCCCTTCCACTACCGTGCGAGGCAAATCTGGGAGCTGAGTTGGTCCTGAGGCGTGATCCACTGAGCAGCAGCTAATATCACCTCTGAAATCTTCCTGTCATGGTTTCTGGAGAAATGCCAAGAGTACAGACCTACCAAAAATCAAAAGTGAGCTCCCCAGAGTGTATATAAATTATAATGACATTTTCAGGACATCTACATTAAGATCAATACTGTCTTAGGTATGTTCAATAAATTATCTAATTTATTTCTCAGTCTTAGAAGTTATTTAATACACACTGAAACTGAGGCTCAGAAAGATAAAGTGATTTATCCAAGGACACAAAGCTAGTAAGTGGCAAAGCCAGGATTCTTAGCCAAGTCTTCCTGCCCCTACTGCCTGTCAAATCTAAGCTTTACCTTTTCATCCTTAACCCGTGTCTGCCAACATGCTTTTCACTTAATACTGTTTTCATTGAAGGGAAAGTTTAATTCAGTCCTAAGGGGGTAGAGCAGGAAACAGAGAAATTGATCCAGATAATCAGATTATCAACCATTTTAGGATTGATTTTGGTCCAATGATTGATGAGGTCAGCATTCTGTCTTTGTCCCAAGGGCTTAGTTGGATGTATCTTCTACTGGCAGATCACATCTTCTGGGTTGGGACAGAGAGAGGGGAAGGTATATATACTCACATTTTTTTGACTGTTCAGGTCTATCTAACTTCTGACACCATTTGCTCCTGAAGAAGAGCGACATCGATTCCCTGACATTCTATTTAGTACAAAGTTCTGTGTCATTGGGGAGCGTGTTGGACCTTAAGATTCACTGTGCCGATCAATTAGCAAGTGGTCCTTATCTGACAGCCAGGCGATGCAGAGAAAGCGCTTGGCCAGCTCGGCTGGTTCCGCCTGGATGGGTCACAGCCAGCACTCCCTTCTCCAAGGAGCTCAAAGCTCCACACTGACACGCAGGTAAACCATTCTTCTGAACAGCAGGGAACAGTGGAGAGCATTATACCATAGGGTGGGCTTCCTTTGAAAAGAGGAATATTATGAGACGGTAGAGACAGTTCATTAAAATAGCCAGGGAGTATAAGAGAATGAGGAGAAGCAAGCCCCTTCTCAAATGAAAGCCACAGCGGGACAGCAGCACCGTAGGTCCGAGGCCCGAGAGGAAGGCCAGCTTCAGCCTCGCTGACTTGCTGTGCTGCCCTTGGACTAGTTACTTAACCTCTCAGGCTTCACTTCCCTCACCTCTATAGCGACAGGTCTGGTTGCTAAACTAAGATTTCTTGTTCTAAAACACAAGAGACTTGTCTGACTTGACAAACACAAACCTTTGCCTCTGAGGACAGGGCAGGGCAGGTAATCAGACCTCGGGGTTCCCATTCCCTGTGTTGCCCATTTCCCAGGTAGATCCAAGCAGAACGCTCCCCTGGGCGAAGAGGTGCAAGGAAGCGGAAGGGTGCTGGGCAGGAGGGAGTTTTGATGTTTTGAGAAATCATTCTGCACAAGTGGCATCAGAAGCTAGAAGTGAGAATGACCCCGGGAGCCCTGACACTGCTCCTCGACCAGCCCCGCCGCTCACCTCTGCTCATCCAGACGGCACTGCTGGCACAAGTGACGAAGGGCCAATCTCAGCTTTGTTTTTGAAAATTAATTATTCAATGAACTAATTTATTTAGCTCCCTCCATTTTTCCTCAGTGGAAGAT